GTTGCATGTTATCACATGACCAAAGTTCCTTACTGTTTTGTCTCCTCCTTTTGAGGGAAGATCAAATATTAGAAACACCTCTTAGTGTGAAGTTTTTTAATTTTTAAATAAACATGTAATGAACACAATGTCCCATTAAGTCTTTAGTAAGTCATAAATAAGCAGATCAAATTAAGATTTTTATGAAAACCAAAAACATTAGATAGATATAATAAAACAGTAAAACTTTTCTGACAGTCTACTGAAATATTGCTAACGGAAAACTTTTGAAATGTAGTACTTACACTGAACATCTGTTTGGCTGATGTTTGATCGTCCAGCTCCAAGATCATTTTGAGCCTCGCAGAAAAACAGACTGTTGTCTTTAGATGCTTTAATGTTTAAAACAGCTCCGGCCTCAATAAAAGTCTCTTGATCTCCGTCAGCTCTGTATCAGATGTAGGTCTTTACTGGTGATTAAAATGTTCTGTTTCTTCACTTTTGTGAGGGGAGTCCTACCCAATCCACTTAAATTAATTAAAATCAAATTTAAAAAACCATATCCGAGAGGAACTTAAAGGGACAGTTCTTCAGTTGAGTTTTGATCCTGGAGCATATTTGCACACAGGTTGCTGTTTCCCAAAGTGATAGATTTGACATTTAAACTGGAACTGCAACTAATGATTGTTTTCATTATCAATGAATCTGTCAATTACTTTTACGATTAATAATTTTGTCTGTGACATGTTGGAAAACTGGTAAAAAATAGCCGTCACAGTTTGCCAGAGGCATCTAATTGTTTTGCCCCTAATTCGGACTAAGACAAGAAAACTAAGAGACAACAGAACAATTCAGCCATAATGTTAATAATTGTAATTAATTACAGCAGAGGACAAATGAACTCACATAAAATGTCAGCTGTTAAACTTGTGTTAACAGCTGACTCAGCGCTGCCATCGTGTTTGTTGTAGGTGGCAGTACAGGAGATTGTCTTTCCATGATGGAGGTGAAGAGAAGCAGTGAAGCTGACAACAGAGGTCTGGACTTTAGTTTTGNTGTTACCAAATCCACTTTGCTGACTCAGCTCAAGTTAAAGCTTGGTGCAGCATCAATGGACAGTGAGTGAGAACACAGCTCTGCCAAAAAAAAAAAACATTACAATTTGCCAGAGGCCAATCTCGGAACCCACTAGCTCTCGCTCTAATGACAATAACGCCTCTAAAGCCTCTGGGGGTAACATCTAATATTTTGGTGGTTCTGGTTTAGCCAATGGATATTCTGGAGGAGACATAATCTTGCTTGTGCAGGTCATTTCAGTATGTGGATGTGGATACATTTTTAAAAGGCTAAATCGTCATCAATGTTGGTGATGGGTTCCAGTATTGCATTTCAGCCAATGTGTTCTGCCTCTCTTGCTCTCCACACAGACTGTCAAGCTGCCTCTTAAATGTGATTGGTCAATGCTGCTCGGACTACAAACAGACTACAAATGGAAACCAGAAAACTTCAGATACCAAAATCATTTTCAGACAACTTGCTGTCTGACCAAAAGTTCAAACCCAAAAGCATTAAATGCACAATGGTATCAAACAGAAAAAAAGTTGCAAATCATCATAGTTTGGAAACAGTACACTTTTATTTATTTATTTATCTTAAACAAGTATGATTGATAGCTTATCAAAATTATTGACTAATGGATTAATTGTCTTGATTGTTTCAGCCCCGATTCAGACTAACTCAAAAACACTAGAAGACAACAGAACAATTCATCTGCAGTATATTGTTAATCATTCTAATTAATTTAAGGACAAATGAACTCACATGAAATGTCAGCTGTTAAACTTGTGCTAACAGCTGACTCAGTGCTGCCATCTTGTTTGTTGTAGGTGGCAGTACAGGAGATTGTCTTTCCATGATGGAGGTGAGAAGCAGTGAAGCTGACAACAGAGGTCTGGACTTTAGTTTTGTCCTGATTCTCCTGCAGTGTCTCCTGACTGTCACCGAGGCCGGGGGTCCATGTCAGAGTTGGAGGGTGAGACAGACAGGGAGCTGGAGCAGAGCACGTCAAACTCACTGAGGTTCCTTTCTTCACCTCCAGTGTGGACGGAGTCGGAGTCAGAGTCGGTCTGGGTGGATCAGCTGGTGGGAAGGTAGATTTTGACCAGTCACTGAATAAACAATCATTTCTCTATATTTGTCATACTGTTTGCAAAAACAATAAATCCAAAATATGATTAAAGCAGTTCCACAAGGGAAGAGAATGAAATGTAAGTAAATGGGGTTTAAAACATACCTCTGACTGCAATAGAGATTTGATCAGGAAAAGTATAACTCAGGCCTCTGCATTCCAGTCTGAAAAAATATTTTTTGTTGTTGTCAACAGGTTGTATGTTTTTCAGGGTTGTGGTGCAGTCTTTTTTGGTCAAGTTTCCTGTCAGTTGTCCGTTGTTTGTAGTTGTTTGTGTCTTGCTGCTATCAAACACAAAAGCTCCATCTTTACTCCATAGTGCTTTACATGTGTTATCTAGCTTCGATTCATACTGGGCCGTCACGTCAAAGGAGCAGGGGATGGTCACACAGGATCCACTAACAACCTCTATAGTCTGTGGTATTATGACCTTAAACTCTCCACACAGGGCACCTGAAACACAAGATACAAATCTTTGAATAAGAGCAAGTGAATACTTTTAATGAGGAATTTATTTACTGTTTACTGGTTGCCTTAGCGCTATACATACTTCTTAGAATAAGTCAAAATGATGACTGTAAAGATTGTGCATTGTTCCCACAGTAGTTTTTCCCCCAGATGTTCAGATTAAAACCTGTCAAATTAAAGTTCCAAGAAAAAACCAGCTGGACGCTTTTGTTGCTCACTGTTTTAATTTTCTGCAGTATATATTACAGGTACTGTTGTATTGTGGTGTGAATGCTTGACTTCAATACTGACTAAACGACTCACCTTGCAGCACCGAGCCAATGAGAAGGAGAGTCAGAGCTGCAGCCATCTTTGTGTGTCAGGAGAGGCAGAAACTCTGGAGATTTTACATAGAACAATTCACATTACTGTGTTTAATCTCTAATTATTTCAGGTTTGTAGAGTAGGTTGCAGATGGAGAAATGTTTTGCTGTCTCTTCTTCCTCTTTTACATCAATGTGGAAAAGGCTTAAGGGAAGCCTGTGAGGGATTCTGAGACACTAATACTCAGATGAATAATATCACTGCTTGTGACTTAATTCCTTTATTGATCCATGAAATAAATTGCAAATACCCAATCTATTATGAAACTTTGGTGATGGACATTTCCAACAAAAGTGTAATGTTGGTTCAGTATTTCTGCTGACTCTGAGAGATTTGCAAAAA